CAAAACGGGCTTAGATATGGCAGGGATGTAGGAATTACCATACCAGGAATTTAAAACAACTACGATTCGTATGTTAAAAGCTCTAATGGAAAAAGTAGACAACATGGAAGGACAAATGAAGAACAGAGAAACAGAAGTGAAAATTCTAGTCAAGAACCATACAGAATTACTAGAGATCAAAACACTGTAACAGAAATGAAGAGTGGCTTTGATGGACTCATCCCACTAAACTGGGCACAGCTGACGGAAGACTCTCTGAGCTTGAGGATATGACAGTAGAAACTTCTGAACTGGAAAGCAGAGATTTAAAAAACAAAGAACAAAAGAACGCTGAAAGAAATCAGAATGGAGTTATCCAGGAAATGCTGGATAACTACCAAAATGTACACACATGTATAATGGGACTACCAGAACGAGAAGGAAGAGAGGCAGGAATAAAAGATTTATTTGAAGTGGTAATGACTGAGAATTTCCTCACGTTAATGTCAGATGCTGAATCACAGCTGCAGAAAGATCAGAAAATACCAAGTGGGATAAATAACAAAAAGACAGAAAACATAAAAAACCAAAAACTACACCTAGACATAGCATATTCAAACAGCAAAAGTCAACATTTTATTTTTATTTACTTGTATTTATTTATTTTTTTAGGATTTTATTTTTAAGTCATCTCTGCACCCAACATGAAGCTTGAACTCACAACCCCAAGATCGAGAGTTGCATGTCCTACCAAGTGAGCCAGCCAGGTGCCCCTTTCAAAAAATCTTGAAAGAAGATGGGGAGGAAGGAAACAGAGAAACAAAGATAAGAATTCTATCCAGCTTCTCATAAACCGTGCAAGCAAGAAGAGAATGGAATGAAATATCTATAGTTTTGAGAGAAAAAAAATTGCCAACCTAGAATTCTATACTCCATGAAAATAATCTTCCAAAGTGAAGGCGAAATAAAGACTTTCTCAGATAACAGAAATTGAGGCAATCTGTGGCCAGTAGACCTGCCTTGCAAGAAATATTAAAAGGAGCTCTTCAGAGAGAAGGAAAATGATACAGGGCAGAAACTCAAATCTCCATAAAAAAGTAAGAACATCAGAGAAGGAATAAGTGATGGTAAAATGACAACTTTAATTTTTTTTTAAGTTTATTATTTTTGAGAGAGAGAGAGAGAGAGCACACAGGGGAGGAGCAGAGAGAGAGAGAAAGGGAGGGAGGGAGGAAGGATCCCAAGCAGGCTCCGCGTTGTCAGCACAGAGCCCAATTGAGGAATCAAACCAACAAACTAAGATCATGACCTGAGCTGAAACCAAGAGTCGGACACTTAACCGATGAAGCCAGCCAGGCGCCCCCAACTTTAATTTTTCTTATCCTCAATTGATATAACAGGTAAAGGTTTGTTCAAAATAATAATAGCAACAATTTTGCAAGCTTATATTTAGGTACACACTGTACATATGAAATGAATGACAGTGATGATTCAAGGAACAGGAGGGAAGAATTCTTAATATGTTGTTATAAGATACTTACACTAACTATGAAGCAGTCTAGTGTTATTTGAAATTAGACTTGGATTAGTTCTAAATGCATATTGCAAACACTAGGCCAACCACTAAAACAATGGGAAAAAATAGGAGAGAAAAATGGAATTATGTAAAATGCTCAATGAAAGCTACAAAAGGCAGAAACAGTGTAGAAGACAAAAAAAACAGAACAAGGCAAGGAATAGAAAAGGCTAACAAATATGGTACATATCAATACAACTATAGTAATAACCACCTTAAATAGCAATGGTCTAATACACCAATTAAAAGACAGAGTCAGAGAAGATCAGTAAACAAGACCCAACTAGCTGTATGTTGTCCTCAACAAATCTACTTCCAAAACAGAAAGCACTGAGCCTACATGGGTTTACTGATGAAGTCTACCAAACACTTAAGGAAGAAATCATTACTAATTCTCTACAATCTCCTTCAAAAGATAGAAGCAAAGTTAATACTTCCTAACTCATTCTATGAAGCCAACATTACCCTAATAACAAAACCAAAGACATCACAAGAAAATGGCAAACCAATATCTCTTATGAATGTAGATGCAAAAATCTTCAACAAAATATTAGCAAATTGAATCCAAAACCATGACAAAGTAGGATTGATCTTAGGTATGCAAGACTGGTTCAACATGTGAAAGCCGATTAATGTAATCCATTTGACAAAATCCAATACTCCTTCATGATAAAAACTCTATTCTAGGAATAGAGGGGAAACTTCTTCAGCTTGATAAAGAACATCTACAAAAAACTTAGAGCTAACTTCATACTTAGTGGTAGGGAACTAGAAGCTTTCCTGCTAAGATCAGAAATATGGCAAGGAAGGACACCTGGGTGACTTGGTTAGTTAAGCATCCACTCTTGATTTCGGCCCAGGTCACAATCCCAGGGTTGTGGGATCGAGCCCTTTGTTGGGCTCTGTGCTGAGTGTGGCATCGGCTTGCAACTCTCCCTCTCTCTACCCGCCCCACCCCCTGCCACCCCTCTCCCCTGCTCATGCTCGCTCTCCAAGGTAAGAAATAATATGGCAAGCATGTTTACCACTTTTCAACATCATACTAGAAGTCCTAGCTAATGCTAGGAAACAAAAAGTACGCTATAGATTAAGAAGGAAGATGTTTGCAAATGATATGACTGTCTATGTAGAAAATCTGAAAGCATTGAAACCTCCTGGGACTAATAAGTAACTACTGCAAGGATGCAGGATACACGGTTAATATACAACAACCAACTGCTTTCTTATATATGAACAATGAACAAGTGGAATTTGAAATTAAAAAAACAATACCATTTACATTAGCACCCCCAAATGTAAATACTTTGATAGAAATTTAACAAGATAGGCATAAAATTTGTATGAGGAAAACTGTAACACTGACAATGAAAATAAAGAAAGAACTAAATAAATGGAGACAGTCCACGTTCATGAGTAATAAGACTCAATACTGTCAAGATGTCAATTCTTACAGCCTGATCTATACATTCAACACAAACAAATGAACATCCCAGCAAATTATTTTCTGAGCATCAACCGATTCTCAAGTTTATACAAAAGGCAAAAAAACCCAAAAAACACAAAAAACAGAATAGCCAACACAATATTGAAGATGAAGTACGAAGTTGGGAGGACTGACATCACCCAAATTCAAGAACTACTATAAAGTTAAAGTAATCAAGACAATGTGGTATTTGACAAAGGAGCAAAGGCAATACAATGGGGCAAAGGTAGCTTTCTAACAAACGGGGCTGGAACATCAGGACATCCACATGCAACCCATCAACCAGTCCATCTAGACACAGATCTTCCACTCTTCTCAAAAGTAAACTCAAAATGGATCAAAGACCTGATTATAAAGCCAAACTATAAAACTCCTGAAACAAAATGTAGGAAAAAAATCTAGGTGATTTTGGCAATGACTTTTCAGATATAACGTCAAAGGCACGATCCATGAAAGGACTGATAAAGCTCAATCTCATTAAAATTAAAATATCTGCTTTGGGAAAGACATTGTCCAAAGAACAAGAAGACGAGCCAAAGCCTGAAAGAAAGAATTTACAAACGACATATCTGATGGGGGATGGTTATCCAAAATATGGAAAGAACGTTTAAAATTCGGTAAATGGGCAACCCGCTTAAAAAAAAAAAAAATGGATGAAAGACCTGAGCAGGTACTTCCCCAAAGAAGACAAATGGAGGGTAAATAAATTTATCAAAAGAAAGTCAGTATCATATATCGTTAGGGAAATGCAGATTTAAATAACGAGATTCCACTTCCAACCTATTAAAACAGCCCAAATCAAAAACGCTGACCGTACCAGACGCTGCTGAGGAAGCGGGGCAAAAGGAACTCTCATTCGTTGCTGGTGGGAATGCAAAATGGTACAGCCACTTCGGAAGACAGCTTGGTAGTTTCTTGCAAAACCACACGTACTCTTACTACGTGATCCAGCCGTCTTATTCCGTGGTCCGCACCCAAATGAACGGAAAACTTACACGTACACACAAACCCGCCCAGAGATGTTTACGGCAGCTTTAGTCACAGCTGCCAAAGCTCAGAAGCAACCAAGATGTCCTTCAGGAGGTGGATGGGTAAACTGGGGTCCACTCAGGCAACACAGTCGTATTCAGTGGTGAGAACAAATACACCATCAGGCCACAAGAAAGCACGGAGGAAGCGTCGATGCACGTTACTAAGTGAAAGAAGCCAATCTGAAAGGCAACGGGCTGTATGATTCTAACTAGATGACGTTCTGGAAAAGGCCCAACTATGGAGACAGAAAAAGGATCGGTGGTTGTCAGGGACTGGGGCGGTGGAGGGATGAATAACTGGAACACGGAGGACGTTTAGGGCAGCGAAACTATTCTGTAGGATAAAGCAGGGGTGGATTCATGCCACCGTATATTTGTTCAGACCCACAGAACGTACGGCACTAAGAGTGGACCGTAATGTAAACTAGGGACTTTGGGGGATTACGACGTGCCGGCGTTGGTTCCCTGAACGTAGCAATGGACCATTCTGCAGGGATATGCTGACAGTGGGGGAGGCGCGCATGTGTAGGGGCAGGAGGCATGTATGGGAATCTCCACACTCTGTGCACAATTTTGCCGTCAAGCCTAAAACTGATCTAAAAAATAAAGTCTTTTTAAAAAAAAAAAATCTGTGAACCGATATATACCATCCTGTATTTTCTATTTTATTCCTTTTTTTTTTCCCAACAAATTTTGGTCACCTCCTAAGTACACTTATTTCACCCCCCACTAAGGAGCTTGAAGGAAGTCAGCCAAACATGACTAGAGGGCAGGGTCTCCAGCAGCCCTCTGCAATCCATGCTGTCTACTCCGCGGGCTCCACAGGCGACAGAGGGCCACACGCGACTCATTCGTGGTTTCTGAGCAAGAGGATTTCCCAGCCCCCAGCCCCCAGCTCCCAGCCCGAGGCTAGATGGGTCCCTGCAGTTACCTGGAGGGAGGGTCTCCATGCTTTGTGCTTTCTCATCCCCGTTGCTGTGATGTAGGTCTTTCTTTTTAATTGGGTCAATTTCATTCCAGTCCTCCTAAGGGGAACAAAGACACGAAATGGGTTGATCAGTTCCTCAAGCACACCTTCACTCACCAGTTCAATAAACACTTGAAGTCTTGGGACGCCAGAGAGCCCTGGGGACGTAACAAGGAGGGAGAGAGAATTCCCATCCCAGAACTTCTCGGAGGGTGGAGGTATGGAAGGGGAGAAAAGCGTGGGAATGACCTTTTCCAAGGAAGGATTTGCAACTTCTCTCTTCATTTTATATTTACACTGCATATCTCTGGGAAGGCAATACTCCGGAAAACCCAGGGCTTTGTGGATTTGTGAAGGTAGGGGAAGGGAGGTAGGGAAAGTAGATTAAATAAAATAATTCAGTAGTGGTTAAATTAAAGCCATTAAAATGATGGTAGCTCTCCAGACATCTTAGATGGTTAAGGACACCTTAGGACCAGATTTCTCCCTCTTGGGTCCCTTTGAGCCCTCCTCTGACGTTGCTAAATGATTTGTTTAATTCTGCTGAGTAACAGTGGAGGGAGGAGGAAGGACCAGCCAAGCTTCTCCTCGGGCTTCACTCTAATAGGACTGCCAATGGAACAGAGCTGTAAATTAAGGGTTTAATGTAAAACCAGAATAAGATATAAGCTCTGGCAGAACTTATTCAGCTCATCTGCACAAACAATTTACTCTAATCCATCAACATTAAATCAAACCAAAAAACATCTCCATGACCACAGAGCTAAATATATCTTTCAACCACTTGGAATCTGATTTCTCTGAATCAAGTAAGAAAGATTTCTGTAGAAGAACCCAGATCAGAAATGTCCTACGGCTAGTCATTTTCCTACACAGATTTCCGTGAGCCAAGCCGTGTCGACTGGCCATTCTCTGGAGCAGATGTTGTCGGGATGAGCCCTCCCTGGGGAGAGACCAGACCAGTTCTGCACAGGTTTGTCCGCTAGCACTCCTCCAGACCAGCGTGGGCTGCGTGTTGCGCAAAAGGGGGCCACTGGAGACATTCTGGCTCTTTCAAACGTAAAGTGAGATCTGCAAGGAGGGTAATTCTCAGGTGCTGGGCCAAATCAGGCATTTTTCCCAAATGCGGCTTGCTTTGCCAATAACCTCCATTTTTACTCAAACGGTACAATAACAAAAGAGAAACCATGCCTAAGCTTCCAACCCCTCTTGAGGCCAGCTTTTTCTTCAGCTGCTTCTTCAGTGCTATAGCTGGGTTTATCCCACCAGGGCCACCGTGAGAATGATGGGTTGGGGGCACCAGGGAGGTGCAGAACAATGGGCTGGAGACGAACGCTCCTGTGCCTTGGTGGTCCTGCCCCACCCCACACCTGTCACAAGACCTCTGCCCTTCAAATGCCCCAAGTCCTGTGACTTCTGAAGAGTTTATCCTGCATTTTAACAAAAGTATTAAAATGCACCAGTATCCCAATTTATTTTTTGCGGCAAGCAGTTTTTCAAAGGTATTCATAATTTGGCTTTTGAGACCATTTGGTTAAAAATAAACTTTCAATTTACTATCAGCGATGATTTCGCGGAAAGCTTGGCAAAGGCGTGGGAGGAAGAGAATCTAACCTACTGCCTTTACAATATACGGAAATGTACGAATACTAAATCCAGTGAGTAATGAAGTTACCAGAATCATGCTGTGCGTACTTTTAATTAAGCATTATTAATTTTTATTTTGTAGCTCGCTTGTAGCCTTTTGTGGCTAATAACTCTCTCCCCCCTGCAGGCATTACAGTGGCGAAATGGATCAAACCATTTAACCTTGTACTTGAATAAAATCAAAAGTGAAGGGTGCTGCTGGGGCCAGTGCCCCAGAACCAAGGCATTGTCTGTACTGTTGACAAAATCAGCATTGAGGCAGGTCAACCATCAGTGCTCTCTCAGAAAATAAATGCTTCCTTCTTCCCGCAGGCAAGACGGACTGGGTCCAGAGGCGACATTCCTTAGCCTCCCTTCCCCCTCCCAAATCCACCATGCCCACCATAAAACCAAAGCTGGGGATGAGAACATGTTGAACGGCCAAGTCCCAAGCAGGTGAAATAAGGTTAAGGGCCAATTATGAATGCCTGCGACACACGTGGTGTTGCGCACGGATGCTTCACAGAGAATTCCTAGTTCACAACGGGACGTGGAGCTACCTGGGTCACATAGTGGGTAAGAAGCTAAAGTTGGCCTTTGATGAATCAGGCCTCAGTTTAAACCAAGTTAGAAGAACCCGAGTCTCACAATATCATAAAAGTCCAAAGATACGGGGGCCTGGATGGCTCAGTCGGTTAAGCGTCCGACTTCGGCTCAGGTCATGATCTCGCGGTCCGTGAGTTCGAGCCCCGCGTCGGGCTCTGTGCTGACAGCTCAGAGCCTGGAGCCTGCTTCGGATTCTGTGTCTCCCTCTCTCTCTGACCCTCCCCCGTTCATGCTCTCTCTCTGTCTCAAAGATAAATAAACATTAAAACAATTTAAAAAAAAAAAAAAAGCCCAAGGATACGGTTCCAGGAGGTCGTTCGCAAAGGACTCGTTCGTTCTGGACTCCCAAGTTAAAAATTGCAAATTACCACATAAACTACCTGCTCCCAGAGTAACATGAGGAGGAGGAGGAAGAAAAGGGGGAACTGTCTAGGCCACTCAAGCCCCATTCTAGCCACTGTGCACACAGTGAACTTCCTTCCAGTGCTATTACTACCCCCATTTTACAGATGAGAAAGCCGGGCACTGGAAGCTCAAGTACATAATGAGGTTAGATTCAAACCCCAGGGGATGGATGGACTGATTGATTGGTTCTAAAATTTTTAATGTTTATTTTTGAGAGAGAGAGAGAGAGAGAGAGAAACAGAGCATGAGCAAGGGGGGGGGGGCGGGGAGAAGAGAGAGAGAGGGAGACACAGAATCCAAAGCAGACTCCAGGCTCTGAGCTGTCAGCACAGAGCCCGACGCGGGGCTCAAACTCACAAACTGTGTGATCATGACCTGGGCCAAAGTCGGACACTTACCCGACTGAGCCACCCAGGTGCCCAAACCCCAGGGGATTCAGTACCGGAGTCCACGGTCTCAATCATTCTACTGTACTGCCTTTAGGTAAAATAACTTCCCCCACTACCAGCTAGATAGACACGAGTAAAGCAAAACAATGTATTAGCCATTCATTCATCTCAGGATATGTCTGATCACTGTAAATTCCTAATTGTTCAGGATGACTGATCGGATTCACTGGCTGAGACAGCCGGTGCCCATGTACAACGCACCCCCTGTCAACAGCTCACCCTTCCAGACGCTTGTCATGTTCCACTCTCCTCCTGTAACCCTGACCCATGGCCTTTGCTAGATGGAAGAACGTCCCCAGAGATACAGTGAGGAGTGGGCAGGTTCACCTTGGCTGAGCGTGCCCACTCGGGCGCAAACAAGCATCCCACCTGATGGCACAGTGCCACAGACCCTGCAGAGTGTGGGGAAGGCTCCGAGAAGCCTGTGGCCAAGAAGTGACACCTTAGCAGAGATCTGAGGGGTCTAGAATGGACCTGGCAAGGAGAAATGATGGGGCTCTGGGGGAGATGAGGGTTCTGGTGGAGGGAAGAAAATGAAAGGTAGAAAATGGGAAGACATGGAAGTGGTGAGATACTGAGACTTGAGACTTCCGTTCCAGAAACATCGCGTTGGCTGTAGTGTAGGGAGCAGACGGAGGGGGCAGAAGAGAGGCCAGGGGGCCACGAGGGCAATGCAGCAAGGGACGGCGGGGAGCCGGCTCAAGCCTGGGTCCCAGAGATGCAGAGAGGAGACCGGCGCGACCACAGGGCGAGGATTGGAAGAGGAAAGCAGGAAGGAAGGAAGGAATCCGAGATGGAGAGTTCTGACCTGGGCGTTTTAGACAGGAGGGGCATTCACCGCTAAGGAACACGAGAAAGTTGTCCAGGTGGGGCAAGGAGGGGAGCTGGGAGATACAGACGAGCCTGTTCAGGAAATGTGGAGGTTCCCGAAAGATACCGAGAGGAGGTACCTGGCAGACACAGGAGACACAGGGCTGGAGTTCTGGAAAGGCAGGAGGCCATCGAAGCTGCTGGCGGGCATGTGAGACCATCGGCTGGGGGTGGGGGGTATGAGCCAAGTGAGAACGGGTCCCAGGGCAGAGGGAGATGCAGGACACATGACAAATTGGGAAGAGCCCTGGCCCACGAGCTGGAGCCTCGGGGTCTCGCCACAGGGATCTGAGGAAGTCACCAGCCTCCCTCCCTCCACTGGGGCACCGGCTGAAGGTCTCATGGTCCCTGCCTGCCCTTGGCGTTCCTGGGTACCGGGTATTCTCAGCACTTTTTTATACTTTCCACCCCATTTCACATGGTTGGTATGCAAAAGCTCTTCAGGTCCTTGGAGAGCAGGAGGGCTCTGTCACATTTCTGGTGTATCCCATGGCACCAAGTGTGGCACTGGTCTCAGGTTGGTCACGTGATAATAAACAGAGTTGGGACCAAACACCCTCACACTACTTACTCAGATTGATCTGACTGGCTTCGCCCACTTTGCAGTGGAAGCTTTTCATGACAACCCCCCCCAATACATCTACATACATGATGAAACATATTTACACCAGCGGGAGTGGGGGGTGGGGAGGGGGTGTGGAGGCTCGTTTCAAAGGGGAAACGTGTGAAATGCAACAGTGTGGAGAAGGCTCCAGTGCCCAGGACCCGCTGACAGGCGGGACGTGTTACCAAATGATCTGTTTGTTTCCTCCCATTTAAGAGAAAATGATGCGGTGACAGGCAGGTCCTCTTTTCAGTGACAAGTAGAAACAGCTAAGATTAGAGGAGTAATGATGCGGTTTGATGCTGGGTCAGAAGTTGCAGAGCATTCAAGGCCTGGGATCCGGTCAGCCTGCTGTTATTCCCCGGGGGCGGCAGCCTCCTCTCTGCTTTGTGTCTCTGGCTTGCAGAGGAGGGATACTGACATGGAACTGACATGCGGAATGACTAACGCAGGCTGAACACGGGACTGCGG